TCTCCTTTGCAGAGTAATCGATAAATCTCAGTGAGTTGTCAGCAGGAATTATCGCACATCATAACAACGTAGCTCGTCTTCGTCTAGCAGCAGAACAAAGATATATGTCTGCACGTGGATCCACCTTGCATCACAAAGCGACAAGCGTATCAATTCGAGGCCTTCGCTATTTCCAACCATCGCTTCATTCCCCATGCATCGCCTCGCGGAAATATCTATTTTCGTCTACAGCTCTGCAGACTGCATCACAGCCTCCTACAGCGAATGGGACATCAGGTGCCACAGCTGTGAGCGAACGATCGCCGTGGGCTCTGAGCAAGGAAAAAAAGAAGAATCCTAAACGATCGTCACCACGCAAGGAGAACTGCGGCAAACCAAAGGTTGACACATCTCGGGTCATGATTAAACCGATAATTAGACGATCTCCGAATCTCAGCGATACGCGCAGGCAAAGCAAACTGGAATTTAAAATTCACAGCGAAGAAGACGCCAAGCAAGCACACACCAAACACATGGGAAGGGTCACCACAAAGCCGTGGAGCAAATCCGATACAAGGTCCTCCGGCAAACCGAACACTCGTGACAACTTGACGTTCGAGACAAAAGGAAGCAGAACCCAAAAGAAAAAACAAGTTACTCGAAAGTGGGACCCCTACGTGCTTGCGGAGAAAACTAAAAAGGCACTGGAGAAGGGCAAACTGACAGACGCGGTCACTCTTGCGCGAGATGGACGGGATCGGTCCACTGTGTCATGGAATTACATCATTCAATACGAGTTTCAGAATAAGCATGTATCTGCGGCGTTAGGATATTTTAATGAGGTATGACGGACGATGCTCTCGATGTGAAGAGTTCTAACATTGAAATAGATGCGCAAAAGAGGTGCAGCACCTAATGATCGAACATTCACAATGGTCCTCAATGGTCTTGCAATCAATGCTGATACAGCGGCGACCGCGGTACAGAAGTGCCTTCGAATATTCGCATACATCACGGATCAGAAACGGGTAAAAGTGAACAATTTCCATCTCAATTCAGCCCTCAAAGTGTGTGCCTCCGCATCAGATGTTGACGCAATGTGGCAAGTTCTAGAAATGGCCGATAATTTAGTTGAGCCGGACGAAGCTACGTACACAACAATTGCTCCGTTACTAGCAAAAGAAGGTACTAGTATCGACGATGTTTTTCCCAAAGGAAATCTCAAACATCGATCTTTTTCGGAGGAAGTGGGCTTTAGACGGCTCAGAAGGGACTCGCAGGAGAAACATGAATTCCCTGCTGACGAAACTCATGACAACAACTCAGCAGACGGAAGAGGAAGTCGACGGAACTATATTCGCGATGAGAAGCCACGCAAAGGTCATGAATCGTCCTCGAGAGTGACAAATCCAGACAGAGCCACTACGTCTTACACTGACGAGGAGATAGATCGAAAGAGTTTCTTGAGAATAGAAGATGGCCGTGAATCAGCACGGGATTCTGCGAGACCTCGAAGACGCTTCAGAATTAGATAGCGATGGACGGTGTATATTCTCGCGGCTTATACTATAGGTTATTTATACATCCATATAGGCAAATTGTAATATAGTACATAAATTGATTGAGCAGCAGCTAGTCTAACTGCAGAATCGGAATCTAGTGGAAAAAACCTTAGTCCAGCACGCCAAACATAGATGTAGTAACTTACCGCTTGTGACACAGGGGTAGGTCCAATCGCGGTCGTTGTATATGCGTCCTGGTCAAACAAAGGCATATCGCTGTCTACATCATAATCTTCTCCTGACCGTTGTCTCTGCGTTTCCTCATCACTAGTATGCAGGAATGCCTCGTCATCCATGTTCTCATCCAATTCTTCACGGTCTGGAATCAGACCAAAGGTCACTTCTTCAAAGCCGTCGTCCGCTTCCGGGTCTACCGCCATACGTTTCACGAGGTTGTCTCTTTCTGTTAGCCTCCGTCTGTCCTCCGTGTCCATGCGATTCTCGTCCTGCTCGCTCACTCGTTCATGAATGGGCTGTACCAAGTTCTCGCCCGGGCGTCGGCTACTGCGTCTGACCCTCTGAGCACTAGAAACTCGTTCTCGCTCCTCCCGCTCCTGCCTGGCGTCTTGTAACATTCTTTGCAGCGATGGCGCATTGACAGTCTGGTTCCAAACTATAACGTCTGACCCGTCCGATTCGTTGCCGTCATCCACGTGCTCATATACGGCCTTGTCTCGAACAACAAATGGCGACCGATAATCCAACACCGGAAGCCGTGGTGGGGGCAACGGCGCTGGTATTAATAACTGTCCGCTATCATCTTCCGCTGTCGTACTGTGCTCGTATCGTTCTTCAACATTCACAGACTGTTCCAATGGAGATGACCGCACTTGAGATGACGATTCAATCGCGGTACTGCCTGAGAGCGTTCTTGTTCTTCGGTCGCTAGTCTGTCGTGACGCCGTCATAGATCTTCCAGTGGTGACAACTTGGGAGTCACGAGCGATGGATGGCGGCACGTAACTTTCTTGGTTATCCATAGGACCATAAATATCGTCTTCATTGCCATAGTGTACAGACCTCACTGGTGACGGTCGAGGTGGACTGACGACTACAGGTGGTAGAACCAGCTGTCGTCTAGAAAATGCTGGTTGCACATTGGTGCTGGGTCGGATACTGTCAGCTGAAGCTTCACCAGTGAAGAGCATGAACTTGACCGTTATGTTGTCGTCGCCAAAACGGAAACCTATAGGCAACGTTGGGCCACTAAATGCAGCTTCAATTGTAGCACGAAATGAATCCGCCAACGAAACCAGCACCTGCCACTTGCGTCAGCCCGACCACTCATCTCATCATTGCGTAAAAAGTATACATACTCTGAGTTCCTTCATGCTAAACACAGACTCGGCATCATCCTCAACTATGACATCATTAAACTTCTCCCAAGGAACCGTAATCGATGTCATAAGCGGCTGCTTGAGAAGATCACCTTTCTTCGCTCCAGAAACGCCATTGGTGTAACTGGATAATTGCACTTTGTCATCCCTAAATTTAATTGAGAATTGTTCTGCCCGAATTGATGTGTGATCGAGGAATTCTTTCAGCACTGTCGCCTTAACGTGGAAACTATTTGGGTAGTCATCAACGGAGTCTAAAACGCGGAACGGCATTTTTTTTGCGTACGACAATTTATATGTTTTCGTAATCCCTGTATCGCCGTTCATCAACACCAGCTCAACACGCATCCCGAAAAGTGGTCAACATACCATGATGACAATGCAAATTGATAATTAATCTCGATTCGCCCGTCCCAAGTATTTCCGCGTCATCTAGCGATATCTCACATCTCTCCACAGCAGAATCTTTCTCATGTCTCCTAAATATTGGTACAAAAAACTTCGTCTGAAGTTCAACCGACACTCTGGCCTGCTCTTGAAGATTCACAGCACTAAGTCCCAAACTATCGTCCCTCCGGGAGGACGCCTGACCGACGAAATTAAATCTGTCGAAGAACCCCTGATTGAATTCAATTGACGCAAACGTCGTCTTGCCTGATCCAACGGCGACCAGTTTCACCTATCCCCAAAATGTATTAGAATGACGCACTGGTATAATTAATAGACAATTAGAATCGTACGGCGTTGTCGTAAACTGCTATCGTAATGTAGCCGTTGATCCGGCTTAGTGCGTATATCGAGCGCGACCAGTCTCTAAACTTGGAGCCCGAGCTGAACGCAAGCGAGAACTGAGCCATTCAGTCTCAAGGAACCGTAGGTACGCGGCTAGAGCGTCAATTCTGCAAGCCAACGCAAACTGGTGTGGTTGAATTAAAGATGCTTGATGTCCGGGTAGTGACGCAGTGTGTTGAAGAACCTCCCAATTTTACCCGGCGTACGCGTCGCGCGCTTTTTGTCGCCAACTGTCCGTCATCAAAGGTTGCAGCACCTCGGACATTAGAATAGTGCATGCAAAGCATGATACCATTTGAGCTCACCGATTTGATTTGCATATATAAAATCTCTTCTCCGGGTTTCACTCTAGAAATATCTGCATTCCAGAGGTATTATTGCTCAAGGCTATTAGGCTAATGAGCAGTCAGCCGTTTTTTGAAGCTAGCCGCCGCGTACTCTTTCAGCTCATTATTAACTTACACCTCGTCGACAATGCTCACATTATACGCATTTGTTGTATAAAAAGTATGGGAAGTTGGCGTTAGAATTTCGCAAGTATTAAAGTCCTCCATATCTGGCAAATTAGAGTTTGGATATTCTGTAAGTTTTAAACTACTTCAGTGATAGTTGTCAACCAGATTTCCTCGCTTTTGAAAAAGTTGCACGCTATTCCAAACTGATCATAATCCAATGTTTTTTGTTGGAGAAGGCTTTGTATTTCGTATTACAATTAGGGCTGTTGACGATATTATTCGACCGATTTTCGGCGTCGGATGCGATATCAGCCACTCCCATGGCGACGGCGAAATACAAATAGTGAATACTATTCGAAGCCATTCTCCGACCGGTGAATCGAAATTTCGACATATTATTTCCTAATCATCGTCCTCGAAATGAATTCAATTGGGATCTTGACCGGGCAGAAAGGTTATATACCGGCGTCTGTGCAGTTGGTCCGATTTGATCTGCCTTTTCAACCCCGCCGTCGCCTCAACCAACCCGGCTGAGGTCAATGATGGAGAATTTTATATAGTAGGAACATTTCCTGCCGCAAAAACGTTTGCGGTATAGCGTAATTTATATAATATCATCCGTCAATCCAACATCTGCCTTCAGGGTAGACCCGGCAACGCGAAAGAGTCCAGGTTAATTATTGATATTACATACAGGTACTGGCGAAAATGGGAACAAACGTGAACAGGAAAATTGGAAAAAGCGTTTGTTCGAAAAGCCAATATATTATTGTCACTTGTGGATTACAGTTGCTGGCGGAATAAGCGTTTAATTAGAGCCCCTGAGATTTCAGTATGTGGGCGTCATTCGTTGTGTTTACCTTCACAGTCGGCTTGCCCTCATGGCGTAATGGTAACGCGTCAGACTTCTAATCTGAAGATTGTGGGTTCGAGCCCCACTGGGGGTGTTTAGTAAAACACTCAAAACAGAGAGAAAACCGTCCATAATTTTTTTTGATGTCTCCTTTTTTACTTTCGACTAGATATTTGCTACTGTTTGATTTTTTCGATGTATGCAATATTATCATGCCAGCAAACATATTCCATGAATAACGCCAGCTGCATATGTCAACTAGATGCCACTATCGATTTATAATTAGATTCAGATTATTGTTAACATAAAATCGTAAGGAAAAACTACTCGGAACAACAAAACACACGAATGAATAAATACAGAAGTAAATAAATACAAGAGAAGTAAAAATACTGCCAGTATTAATTAAACAGACTACATCTGTTTGAAGGCGCCCTCCAAAAAAATCGACAGTTAGCCACGCACCACGATGCAACACCAAAAACTTTTAAAAAACGAAACGAGAATCCACTAATAATGCAGAAGGAGAAATTAGATGAGCATGTGTAGGAACATGCAATCGTCGAAAATAAACATTAAACGTAGATATCAACCGCTCTACAAAGAAATTCTAATCACACATGATAATAATTAAACAAGAAAATGTGAAAAGCAAAAATAATACGCGAAAACACCAAAAGTAACAGGAAAACGGTAAGCACCGCCAAACCAACACCGCGACTAAAAACAATCAACATAATGCAAACACTTCCAGTCTAAACCTTCTCGCTGTACTTCTCATTGTACTTCGGAAGCTGAAGCTTGCTGTTTGTGGTGCTCACGAGTGGCGATTTAGATTCATCATTGTCAGCCAGAGTCTCAATTTCCCACTCGGAAGATGGACTGTCAGTGGGGCTGGCGTTGCCAGACTCGACAGAGGAAGAAATAGCCCATTCTTCATCCTCGACATAGAACTCCTTAGTAAGTCTGGCTTTAGTGCTAGGACGAAGTCCCATGTCAACGTAGTCGTACGCCCATCGTGATGCCTTGTCCATCTGCACTGCAGGCAGAAAATTACGGGAAGCGATATAGAAGACAGTCGCAGACAGGATAGCGCCTCCAATCAAGTCGATGAAGTAATGGTGAGTAAGGTACATTGTTGACCACCAAATCCACAGAATATAGCCAAGAAGAAAAGGAGTGAGTCGTGGGAAAACATATGCTATGAAAAGGACCTCGATAACTGCACAGCCAGAATGTAGTGACGGGAAGGCCCCGAACACCATAGGTGAAGCCGTGAAAGACGACGTGTAAAGATCGAGTCCAATTATACCGTCAACGCGAGCAAGTCCACCTGGAGATCCTTTGATATCATAGGTGGCTGGAGCAAGACCATATATATTCTCGTACCACGGTGGTGACGTTGGAAAGAAAAGCTGGATTGAGACCCCGATCAAGTTCATATATCCGAACGATCGTGCAAATACCGGGAGGGTTCCAGGCGCAGCAAACAGGAACATGATAGCTGAGCAAACAAATGGCGCCCCAAAGTGAATCAAACCATAGGGAATCCAAGCCAAAATATCAAGTAGACCGCTATTGTGCGCTGCAAGTACGTTACTCAAATTTCCGCCGTACAAAATGGTCTCCAAGCTAGGAAGTACCCGAACCGAGATAGATGGGCGCCAATCAGCTGGAATGAATCTGGTGAGAACAAATTAGCAAACCTTGCAATTGTATGTCGATGTCGAAACCTACCGGCAAGAGTAAAACAGCACAAGCCACGTGCCAATGGGGACGAAAGGAAAGAAGAATTGTGAAGTTATCGGAACCAGCAATGCTAATGTAAAAAGAGCTGCAATGGCCAATTTCACAAATACACCCGGCTCTGTGACTACAAAGAAAACAAAGCATGCAATAGTGAAGTCGAGCAGGTACTGAACGTCATAGAGGTTCCACTTGTGACGCTGAATGCGCTTGAGCGTTTTCTTAATGTTCCACGACCGGTCTAATCGTGCTAATGTCGAAGATGGAGGAACATCTGACATGAAAAAAGTACGGAACTTGCGCCGTAGGTATGTAGTCGGTAACAGCATAACGAAAGATGTGTGAGAGCTAGTTGCGTCTAGCCACTATTAGAAATTACTATTGCAGGAATAGATGATGGACAGCTGCTAGCCAGGTTAGCGACAGGAGAGCCGAGTGACAAAGAAAATGCATATACCTGCACGCAGGCCGGGTCGCAAATGTAAGCGACCACAAGGGAGGGAGGAAGGATGGCCGCGTGAGTTGAGATAGAGTAGGAATAAGAGGAGCGGAATAGGCGGCGGCGACAGGGGCCAGATTATGTATTTTCTTTTTGCGATATGCCTGGTTAGAACTTGGCTAGGCTGACAAAGTTACAAATTTAGTTACGTTTAGCACCGTAAATGCAAAATTTAAGAAGCGGATTGTGGCAAGAAAGTAGCAAAGTTATGGCCCGTCGGCAGGCCCGGCACATGAAGAGGCCGAAGATTTTCGGTGCCCTTAACAGCTGGCAAGCCGTGTCTGTCCGGGGGCTCGGGCGCTCTGCAATCCCGCGAAAAAGAACTCATTATTTATTTATCCAACTCCTGAGTCAAAGATTATATTATCAATAATTACATTCATGGGTCGTCAGAAAGATTATTTGAGATGCATCAGAAGGTCGTACAAAATGCGCATTGAATCGACGTCAATAATAATTCGATGTGCTGATGTTATCGACAATATCTTGACACTCCACATTATTGGTTTATCTGCAGTGTTCCTGCGCCCCGCTGTAAGCCAATACTACGTCAGCATCCGTTCTAACAATACATTGCCGAAGACAGCTGGACTAACGCACAAGCTCCGCCTTCGGATCCCCAAATAGCTGAGCGCCACCGTTGGCAGTGAATGTTTTAAGCTTGCCTCCTATCCTATCTTGGATCTTGACTCCCATTTTAAGGATAGCTCCACTTACTGCAGTCATTACTAAATTTCATTTTCATCTTGCATTAGGTTTTCTCATGTTCGGCCGGCATGATTGTCCCGTGAATCCCGTAGATTCCTACACAATATCGCAGTCCCCAGCCATCCACCACAAGTCCTCCTTCTTTGTCTTACTTGCAGAAAATAGGGGTCGCAAGACAACATGATCACTCAGCTTGAGCGTATGACCTCTGTGGGCGTAGTGTAGCAATTGGCAGCCTCAGGTCGCAAGGTGGCTGGGATCATTTATCAGCCAATGGCTACCCCCTGGCAGATGACCGGCCTAAATTAGTTGCCACCATCCGCGTCATCCGTCTCGATGCAAATAAGTGGCGATTATATTTCTTCCTTTTAAGTACCTCATTATCGACAGATCCTTTTCGGATGTTTTACATCGTCATCGTATTGTAGATATATAAACTGCATTCCGAACGTCGCTGTCACTGATAGTAGAGTCTAGAGTGCCGCAATTTGCCTCATGTATTCTACTAGAGGAGGCCGGCTCGTCAACCGAACGAATGTAGACCATATATTTTTGTCTGCATTACAATGTCACAATTGTCCGGCTAAAACAAAGGCAAGCCTAACGCAGACGCATATACTATAAGAAACCAGTGTATTGCTATATAATATTGAGTTGTGTGCGGAAACAACAAGAAAAATAGCGAGTTTACTAACTTATTGCAAAAGCTACAACTTTTGGTACAAGAAGATCATTGTTCTACTGGTTGAACGTGTAATGCGGGGTTAGCTCAGTTGGGAGAGCGTCAGACTGAAGTAATACTTCGGTTAGTGATCTGAAGGTCCTGTGTTCGATCCACAGACATCGCATTTCTTTTTACAATGATTTATTTTTGTTGCAATTTTTGTTAACATAAGTTAACTAATAGATTTAAATAAGGCGTTGTGCAAGGTTTATTTATCAACAAACCCTTATCAGCCATGATGAACAATAACAATATTCTTAACATGTCTAATTAGTTTACACAAACCTCTGTCCAAATGTATATAAAAATTGTATCCCAGTCCCAAAATGTAAATGAATCTAACATGAAATTTATATCTAAGTTACAAGAGTCCCGCATATTGCTTACACTCTAACGGCCAACCCATACTGTAAATCCGCTGTCTTCCGTTGGTCATTTTGGCAACCACTTAGCTCCTCGATATTAACAATATTCGTCGTCTTCCAGTCATCCGGAACATAGATTTCGCTCACCCAAGAATCAAAATCCTTTAGCAGCCGACTGTAATAATATGATGAGTGCGCGACGGAGTGAAAGCGCATGCAGAAATGCTGCTGATCCAATGCCGTCCAAAAGTTTCGTATCCAAAGAAAACCTGCAGTTGAAACGACTACTGCTATATTGGCCGCCTTCACAATGGCCCTCCAATACTCCGTCGAGTACTGCTGTATAACGTCGCCGATTAAACGGCCGATATAATAGGCAGCGGGTACCGTAATGGTATTACTCAGCCGTACAGTTTACTTTGGCAGGTGATATTTGAGCCGGACGTCGCGGAACTCAGAAACCACCTTGTCCGAATTTATTTGCTGCCTTTCCTGATTCGGAGTCGCAGGTCGCGCGCGTAAACGGGATCTTATCCGATATCGGCCTGAACTTGTCTGCCGGCTTCTTAATTTAGGATTTGTACAACTTATCCTTCAATTACAAAACTAACTCTAAAATTATATACGTAACCAACTTCGAGAGTCCCTAAATGCACAACTTCTCCATGAATTTTATGTAGTCAAGTCCCTGCTCCGTTTCGTCTTTCGGCATTATTTTCTCTAATTGTTTGATCATCGGATCCGGAACAAGAGAATTCCGAAGATCAAACTCTGTGATATACGGCTTTTGCGCCGTCTTAGTCAATTGAAGAGTAAAACAGAGTAGGCTTACACATACCTTGCCCTCAGCGATTTCCATAAATGACTGAAAAACCTGCTCCGCCGTATTCTGATCTTCTGTGACGTCCACCTGTGGAAAATGCAGTTAGCATACACTCCGGAAGGTGTGCAAAGGCCATGGCTTACCATGTAGCGGATGAAATGCTCAAATGACACACTCGGTTCTCCTTCTCGCACATCATCAAACACTTCATGCGTCTCGTCCTCAGAGT